ACCAGAAAAACACTCATCGTGAGGTAATTCTGGCATTGGCTCATGTGTCTCTCTCGTCGCGTTAACATTACCAAACAAGACAAGGAAAAAAAATATATATATATAAAAAAAAAAGAAGAAAACGAGATGTCACTCGAGAGACGAAATGTACAATCTGTCGCTTCTTCTAGATATGTCACGTCCGCCAAAAAAAAATCAAAATCGCTGATAGCTGCTTACTTATTTACTAGTGCAGTGTGTTCGTTCGTTTGTGGGAAATGTGCCGAGAAATTTGCGAGTTTTATAGTCGTCGAGGGGTAGGCCTTGACTCGACCGAAGAACAAGAAGCGATTGAACTTAATGCATCGAAGCATATCGACGTTTTGTACTTACCAAAATCAGATTATATTTTTACGTTCGAAAAGGAAAGAAACGTGTTGAAGAAAGAATGGGAGATATATATATATATATCGGATCATCGGATAATATTCGTCTTCGATGTGTAAGAGTGATCTTCTATAATAGCGGCGATGTAAATTATTCATATTGAGAAAAGATGTGCAAGTGAAAAAAAGTTTGATGTGAATCATTAAAATCGTTTTACCGATCGATCCTTTACGGCCCTGATCTTTAACTAGCCAACTAATAGTTGTTTTACGATGTCATAGATAATTTTTTATGAATTTGTATACTTCACAGGAATACATAGATATATTTCCTGCGATGATGCATGTAATGGCAACCCGACGAAAGAGTCGGGGACTAGAAAGTCGTCCATCACTTATCGTTTCGCAATTGATTATTCATATATAAAATTACAGATCTTTCTATAGAGAAAAATGTAATATTCCTTTCTCCATTTCGAGAAAGTATCAAAGAACGGCATCTTTTTTGCGAGAAAAATCGCAGAGAAAACTGTATTGTAAATAGTAAATATGTGACGAATAAATGGCCGATAAGTATAGCAAAACGATTAGCGAACAGTCGATGTACATCTTAAGTGTATTACCAAAATTTTCGTAATTTAACAATTGACACGCGTTTGAAAAGCACGCGTGTCGTATAAATACTTTATACACGTGTGAATGAAACGTGTTATATGACGCAAACGAAAATATCCCGATAGCCATTAATCTGGCGTAATGACCTGTGAAATTGTCCAAGAAAAATATTGCTTGTACGAGTCTTAAGTTATTGTACATATTGTATAATCTATGTATAAACACGACTGTATTAGATTAAAGACCTATCATTGTAGTTAAATACGTTACGAATCATTATAACTATATCACTTCAACAATAAACCATTATTATGATGATGAAAAGAGTGAAATTTAAATCAATGATAATCTATACGCATAATATATTTTTTCACAAATTTACAGAATATTTAATTATAAATTATAATCTTATAAAAAACAAGATTATTCGCGCTAAGGACCGAGCTGCTTGACTGAGAAGAACCTATATTATCTATGTTATTTAAACATATGTCTTTGACCGGTATATATTTTTTTTTATTGTATAATGATCTTTTAATTGATATTAATTTGATTATTAAAACTAGACTTTAAAAGATTCTTAAAATCATTCTTGAATCCGAATGTAACTTGAATATGTCAAAATTCAAAAAGAAATCCAATGAAGAAGAAACTCTTATATCATAATTAGAATCTTTCTAATTGAATTCCATCATCTTAAATCTTGTATTTTAATTTCAACAAATTTGAATAATATCAAGTATTCAAGCTAAATTTCATAAAATTAAACAATTAATTTATAAAATAGCACAGCCAATATATTAATCATCTATTTTTAAAGAATTAATATGCGATATCTTTTATAATTCAATATAATACTATTGTCTTATTATCTTTTTGTCTTATTCGTAATTGTTAAGAATTAAATAAATTTTATTAATTAAATTATTAATAATCTGCACTAAAAAATTAAATAAAAAGGAACAATAATATGAAGAGAAAAATGTATTTTTAAAAAATCAATTATACGAGAATCATATAATTCGGTTTATTCTTCAACAATCTGACTTACCGATATTTGGTCAATGACACATGCATGATTCAAATATCTAAAAATATTATAATAAAAAAAAAATAATAAGTAATTGATTTTCTTTTTATTTTTTACTTCTTTTCTAAAATCATATATTATTATTAGTAATTTTCACAAACCACACACACATTATTCACTGTCAATCCAGTGTTGCTAAGTTAGATCGCTGAAAAATAAAGCGAATTAATTCATTTTAATACATAGTTAAGACTTCTTTGAATTTAATGCTATTCGAACATATTCGTTTATCTATATAGCGATTAATGTGATGCTTCAAATTGTGATTCTAAAAATTCAAATTTTCCAAGATATTTGTAAAAGTGTCGATATAGGATGCTAGAGAGATGATCAAGTTCTGATGAGAATGCATCTTTATCTAGGCAGAAATGTCGATAAATTACCAACATTTTTAATTTCGTTAACGTATTTTAATCTTAAAAATATATTATTATTACAATTGTGATAAAAGAAACAGTTATTTTTAATTATAATATGTCTATATGTATATATATATATATATATATATATATATA